TCCAGAGTCTGTGATGGATATTCGAGCCGTAGTACTCCCTACTCAGAGGGTGTTGTGATGCTGCGTGGAGTTGCAGTACTCACTAGATGGCAAGAGAATTTCGATGTTGGAATGTTTTTCGAGCAGTGCATGATGTGGAAGAGTTGGGTTTGAGTAGCCCTGGTATTGAGTCCTTGGAGCTTGGATGTTGAGTCGGGGGCGAGACGGGGGTCTCCGTCTCTGTCAGGAGATGCGGGGAGATACGCAGGGAATATGCGGAGCAGAAACCAGAGATTTGAGTTGAGACGATCCTCGGTTGGATTGTATTTTTCTCGCATGAGGAAAAGAGGATTTCGTGACTTGCGTGTCACTGGGCTGGGATAGTGGTCACGGGGAGGAAGTTAGTGGGACACTTGGATCATGATATGGGTGACGTTTGGGGTTCAGCTGTGGAGCCAAAAGCTGACCTGGTACTCAGTCTTGAAGAGGAATATGAGAAAGGAGCTTATCCTGATGACATCTAAGGACACTTTAGAGAGAGTGAACGATTCAGACGCTCGAAGACATGCTTCGGGCATGTGTATTAGATTTCGGAGGAAGCCACGGTACGTATTTATCCTTGGTTGAGTTGTCTCATATCAATAGCCATCATTAGTGCATTGGTATGCCGCCATTTGAGCTGTTGCATAGGAGGTGGTGTCGGACCCTCATTTGCTGAGGAGAGGTAATGCATGGACCCGAGAGTCCTTGCGAGCAGATCCGGAGCATGTGCGATACATGGAGTAGTGGCAAGGTCGTCAAGCGGATTTCCCTAGGTAAGGGAAGAGAAAGGTACGTTGGGGCTAGTGCAGCATGTGTATGCGATTGCAAGAGGAGAACTCGTGAGAGTTGCTCTGAGAGTGAGAATGGGTCTCTCAATCGTCCCGAAATGGATAAGGTGGGCTTTGGATCGGGGATCCGGTGATTCATGGTTTCCTAACCCTTATGGGCCGAGTGATCGTTGAGATTTAGAGCAGAGTTGCATCTTGGGTAATTCTCGGTTACAGGGAGTAGTGGGCAGTACAGAGATCATGCTTCAGTCGACAGAGCAGATTCAGCAGGTTAAACAGAGGTTATTGACCGCCTAGAGCCGACAGAAAAGTTATGCAGACAGACACCGGTCCGAGCTTGAGTTTCAGGTCGGCGACTTCGTACTCCTGAAGGTCTCTCCTGGAAAAGGGGTGATTCGATCCAGGAAGAGGGGCAAGTTGGGGCCCCGGTATGTTGGGCCTTTTCGTGAAATTGTGAGAGTAGGACGGGTGGCCTACCGTTTGGAGTTGCCAGCGGAATTGAGATAGATCCACGACACTTTTCACGTGTCGCAGTTGAAGAAGTGTATAGTCGATGAGTCAGCAGTGGTTCCACTAGAGAACATTTAGGTGGATGCGAGCCTGAGTTATGCTGAGAGACCAGTGGCCATCAGGGATAGGAAGATCAAGGTTCTGAGGAACAAGGAGGAACCTCTGGTGTTGGTTCAGTGGCAACCCCGAAAGGGATCGGAAATGACTTGGGAGCCGGAACGTGAGATGCGGGAGCAGCATCCGGAACTAATTTCAGAGTAAGACTTCGAGGGCGAAGTCTGATTCTAGTGGGGGAGAATTGTAACATCCCGGAATCTCAAGTATTGTTAAAATTATATTTTGGGTGTTTTAAGGGGGGACTCGGCGAGTTGGAGCCAGACTCGCCGAGTAGGATCGCAGACCTGGTCGCGGGTTCGCGACTGGACTCGACGAGTCCAGATAGGGACTCGGCGAGTCTGCGCTGTTTAGCGAAAACCCTAGCCGTTTAGGTTTGGGACGTATAAAGGGGACTTATTGGCCGTCATTGTTCGTTTTAGCCTTCTGGGAGGAACCCTAAACGATTGTGTGCATCTGGAGCAAGGCTAAAGGCCATTGGTGATTTTGAAAGAGTTGTTGTGCAAGGAAGAGAAGGGCTTGGCTAAAGGAACAGCAAGGGAATCACGTTCTGAGGTTTGGGGACACAGAGAGTGCATTATTCAGGTATGAATTCGGGTATACTCTGCTATGGTGATGTATTTAGAGGATTAGGGTTTATGGAACCCTTTTGTGGATAGATTGAATGTTACCCTTGTTCCCCAAACGATTGTAACCCTGTATTAGGACCCTTGGAGGTCCAGAATACCCCCATGTCTGTGCATTTCGGGAATTGGTGAAGGTTTTGGATTGAAATCCTTATGCCTTAGGTCAACATGTGAATTATAAGTCTTGGGGTGTAGCATGAGCACCGAAATGAGGACCATACATAATGGATCAGTCTAGGAAGGCCAGACCTATGAATGGTCGGAGCAGTTTGAGCGGCTGCATGGCATGGACTCGCCGAGTCAGATGAGCAGACTCGGCGAGTAGCTTGAAGAATAACTGGGACTCGTCGAGTTGTTCCTCAGACTCGGCGAGTGGAGTCGGGGTGGCCCCGCGATTCTTCCAGGAGTAACTCGTCGGGTCAAGGAGGATACTCGACGAGTAGAAGGGAAACCTTAGAGGATTGGAGGACGACTAGACTCGCCGAGTCGCCAGAGTACTCGCCGAGTCCGGTCGAGTTGACCGTGGACCGTTGACCAGAGTTGACCCATGTGTGATTTCTTAGGGTCAGTTAATGTGGAAGATAAAAGTATTAATAAGAGATATATGATGTTATAGGGAGCTTGTAGCTCGGCGGATCAAGTACGAGGGATTTCAGGAGTTGCTAACTTTCAGTATCCGCGAGGTGAGTCTTCTCACTATACTGTACCCGGAAGGGTTTGACTGTGTGACCGGAAGGTCGGATATGATATGTGATATACGTGCCATATGTGGTAAGATAATTACTATGCGTGCTATGTATGTTTATATGGGTCGGAAGGCAATATGCTACGTGACCGGAAGGTCGGATATGATATGTGATATATGTGCTATATGTGGTAAGTTAATTGTTATATGTGCTGTGTATGTTTTATGGGCCGGAAGGCAATGTGTTATGGGCCGGAAGGCAATATGTTATGGGCCGGAAGGCGAATATGTTACGGGCCGGAAGGCGATTATGTTTAGGGCCGGAAGGCGGGTTGTGTTGTGGACCGGAAGGTCAGGGCCTGGAAAGGCGTATATGCGTAAGTTGTATATTGGGGAACTCACTAAGCTTCGTGCTTACAGTGTTTTGTGTTATGTTGTTTTCAGGTTCTTTCAGTAACACGGGATGGCACTGGCTCGATTGTACACACCAGAGAAAGAGTCAAATTTTGGAGGATCCTGGTTTTCTATTCAAGTGAAAATGAAACTATCCTTTGTAATTCAATTATGAACGAGATTTTTAACAAGTGTTTTAATATTAAAATGATTATTTTAAATGAAAATTTTTGCCTTGAAATTTACGGCGTTACAGACAAATTGCATCTTAGGAATTCCTCTAACAAGCTGATTCCCTGCAATCCTTGAGATGTTTTTGAAGTTCAGATGTGATAACATTTTGTGCCACATCCAGTTTAGATGAGATCGAGCATGAGAGCAGAAGCAAGGATGAAGTGATTTGTCAATAGAAAACATATCCAAAACATAGATTTCATTTTGTCGATTTGTAGTAATAACAATGATGTTCTTTTGATCGACAAGTTTTCCTTCTTCTTGTTAAAGAGAACTTCATAGCTAGCATCACACATGTGACTGATAGAAATGAGATTATGCTGAATTCCTTTCATATAAGAGACATTCTTGAAAACAACATAATTGCACTTGATAGATCCATATCCCTTTGTAGCTTCCTTGCAATTATCTCCATATGTAACTGACGGACCATCCTTCTTTATGAAATCTTCCAGGAGAGACTTGAATCCTATCATGTGTCTTGAGTAGCCGCCGTCTAAATACCAAATATGCTATTTAACCTGAAACTAAGATGTACAGTAAGTCTAAAAAAATATACACTAAATATACACTAACCCACTTGCAAGGGATTACTAAGAAAAGATGTTATAATAATCATCAGGGAGACAGTTCAACAACTTTCCATTTTTGATCCACTTATCATTTCAAATCATGATATTATCAGTGTGAACATTGTTCTTTTCGAAAGTGCATTCGCTGACTTTGTGAGAGGCATCACCACATCGGTAACAAACTTTAATTACAAGATTCTTTACTTTAACATTATATTTTGATTTCTTTTCAACTGTTGAATCTGAAGAACTTTGATTATTTGATTTAAGAGTTCTTGATTTAGCTCTGGAATATGGAATGTTATCAATGGTATGCTCATGTACTTCCTTGTCCTGAGACTCATTATCCTTTGAAGAGTTGTCAGGAGTAGAAGGATTTGATTGATCTCCAGGTTTAGAATTGCTAACTGAGCACTGACGAAACATGCTAAGAATTTTATTTACAGAATGAACTTCACCATTACATATAAGAAACTTTAGCAAAGTCTTAGTGGAAGGAAGAACATATTCATGTTGAGAAGGTTGGAGAGAAGGATCTAGATCAGATAATTTAGAAACACATTTAGTAATTCCATTAGAATCAGTAGAGCGGTGAGTATTGATTAAGGTTTGATTTATAAAGTGAGAGCTCACAAATCTATTTTTAAAGTCTTCTTTGGTTAAAGAAACAACATCTTCTATATCACCTCCAAGAATTTTCTTACATTGATCTGGAATCTGAGCATTAATGATTCTTGTGACATTAAAGTGAGAGGGTGCCAAGAATTTCAAAATATGTTGAGTGTGATTAGCATGATGCATAACTTTTTCTTTTACAATGTGAAGAAAATTATTGGTAAGTGAGATACAAGTGTTTTCCTTTTTTTGAAACAAAAAGATATTTTTCTATAAGAAGGAGTTTTTCTTTGAGAGTCTTTTGCTTAAGACTGAGAGAAGATTTTTCTTTGTTTGAGATCAATAAATTGAAATGTAAGAGATTGATCATTTCATATTTTTCGATATTATAAATAGAGGAAAGATTAGCATGATTTTTTATCTGATATGCTGATGCATCGTCTCATTCTGACTTGAGGTCATCAACAATGTGAGGAGAATCAACTTTAAGGATCTCAACGCTGTCATGTGAAGTGTGAGCGTTAGATTCAACAACCTGATCCATGAGATACTTAGCTTCATCATCTAAAGAGTTTTCCTATTCAAAAGCAGATCATAGAGTGGTCATCATCTCGTGAGCAGTTGAGCAGTTTTGTACCAAATGATAGAAAAAAAAAGGAAGTGAGTTTCCAATAGCAATTCTAGCCTATACATCGAGATTCAACATCCTTTTGTCTTCCTTGTTATAATTGGGAACAAATTTCCCTCTCAACTTACTGCCACATGCACCATTATTGGATGATTGATGCGTACCAAGTATAGGACCTTTGTTGACGATGTCGAGCATATCGAGATCCATGAACTCTAGAATGTTCATGCCTTTGATTTAAATTCAGAGAACTTGTATTTGTCAAACAGAGGGATCTTGTTACAGACAGACGAATTAGGAATAAAAGAGGTTGACCTGATTACTCAAGTGTATCACAAACCTTCTCTGATACTATTTGAAGGTTTGTGATGATCGGATACACTTCAAATGTGAATAAGAAACGAAAAACTAATCTAAGAAAAATAAACAACAGAAAGTAAAAGACACATAAGTTCTCAAAATTGTTCCTTTCACAAAGAAAAGAGGTTTTGTCTTCACAAAGAAGATGGTCACAAAGAAGATTGACACAAAGCCGTGTTGTACAACATTAGGGTTTTCCCTAATGTTGTACATATACTAATCTATACATGTATATCCCATGATTGACGAGATTGTAAATAATCTATAATAAGAAGCGATCTTATCACAAAGATTACAGATCTGTGATCTATTCTATATTCATCTATATTATTACCTATATACAAAGATTATACAGAATATCTATACTAAGTGTTGACGCTTGTGAACTTTATACATTGGCACTGTCAACGTGTAGAAGCTGATGCTGATAAATCAACGTGTCATGAGTTTGACTCATCACATCATAAGGTGTAACCTTACAGTTTAATCATGATTTCAATATAATTATGATAAACACACGGTGTAAGTCATGGATTTGAAAAAATAGTGAGATTGAACCCTAATTGGGTAATTTTATGGTTAATGGAAATTAAGTTTATATCTTGATGATTTATGGCCTATAAAAGACATATTAATTGATTTTATCACAAGAAGTTGAGATAAGAAGTTTGTATGACCAAATAAATGATTTTGGTACAGATGAATTGGTATTAAGTTCTTTATATAATAAGTCAAGTTAATAATAACTTTATGTTTTGATTTAATAGGAGGTGAAGATAGTTGGTCAAGAGGAACCAATTGGAGAGCATGCGTTATAGTTAGTTTTAACTAACTTAAGAGGTGAGTACATGTAGATTTTTAATGAATAATAGCAAAGTAAATTTTATTATATGAATATGTTTGATGTCAATCTTTTTTTATACTTGATCCTTTATGTTCATATGTGGTTTGAGTTAAAGGGGCATTGCTAGATGTTCAATTATGAAAAGCTTTATGATTCATTGATTTAAAGGGAATTTCTAGTAGTTTGTTATGAAAGTTCTAATCATGACACATGTTCAATGATTTATGTTGATTTATTCATGATAAAAGTTTGATGTTTTATGTTATGAATGCATTCATAGTTATGAAATTTTATAGACATGTCCTTATAATGGGAAAAATAAGACACTGATTGGATGGTGCCTCCCACTGTGAAGTAGTTTTCGAGGGGTATAGACTCCCAATCAACCACGATAGGATTAACGCTCTCGTGGTTAGTAAGGATCTGGTTGTAAACCGACGAGGGGTACTCTACATATCATATGAGCTGGTAGTTTACCGGAGAGGGGTATTAACTCCCCATATGTATAAGTAATTCATAAAGTTTATGATATCAAATGTTTTATGATTTGTTAAAGTGTTCATGAGGTTATGAAAGTAAGTTCCAGATTTATGAAGTTTCATAACTTCATAGTATTGAATGTTTGCAAAAAGTTAAAGTTTATATGAAATATTTGGAAAGTATATTTCATATTTATTTTGTTCATTTTAAACTATATATCTCACGAGCCTTTTGACTTACGTATTATATTTTATTGAATTGCTATTTGTTATGGGTGATATTTTTATGTTTATCGTATTATTTCTAACATCTTGAACTTGTACTAACATCTTGAATGTCCCAAGATCTTGAATAAGGCAACATCTTGGAATTCATGTCGTATCTTTTGTATTATTCTATTCAGGACTAAAGGCTTATCAGACATGGACCAAGTCAATCAAGCACGAGGTCAGAGAGATAAGATGTTGAGGCTTCCCGAAAAACCTGGTCAAGTAAGAATAGGGGAAGATCTCAGATTTTTAGCATTGTTTATTATGTTATCAATGTATAAAAATACATGTTGATCTTGTTCGAAACATATTTACTTACTCTCTTATGTACTCTCTAGAAACTCTATAACACTCGATCAACTTGTACTTGTAATTTCATTTTTCACTAATAAAAGTTCTAAGGCAGTATGACATTTTCACCTCCCGAAGTTTTATGTTGAAGATAGAAAATGTTATGGGTGAAATATTTTGACTAACATCTTCTGTAGGATTTGAAGTAATAATGTACTTAAGATATTGGATAAGATCTTGAAGGGTAATTAATTAATTAATTATTTTATTATTTAGTCTCTTATGTGATTTAGGTGTTGAAAACATCAATAAAGACCTGGTCAAATCAGTATTTCCTGAAGAAACGCACATAAGAAGACTTGTTAATCTAGAAAGTCTAGAATAATGGTCAAGATAAGATCCCAAATTTCTAGCATAATGGTGAAGAGTAGATAATGCTGAGATTTCAGGTATCTAGTTCATAAACGTTAGAAAGGCTATGTATATTTTAGTAGCTAATCTCACACTTGTACACACACAAACACTCTCGATTTTACTTGTATGCTACAACTAGAACCTACATTACTTGTACTCGTTCATTTTATTCAAATAAATCATCAAATGTAGCCCATATATTTTCGACTGCCGAGGTTTTGTGCCGACAATCTTATTCAAGATCGAGGGTTCGCTCGTAATTCTTGTGTCATGCACCACATAATCTTACTTAAGAATCTGATTATAACACCACGACCTTTACTAATTTAGTTGACAATTACTTTGCATATATTTTTTTTACCAAATTTGGCACCCACCGTGTGGCCGTGGTGTTACATTATTGTCAAATTTCAATCCCTCGGACCATCTCACAAACCATGTCTACTTTGCTAGATACATACTAAACCTTTATTCCTTCTCAAGTCTCCTGAATTCCTCTTGCATCTGTACCATTGGCTACCAATCGTCAAACCAAGATTCCATAATCCTTCCCAAGAATTTTATTCTCTTCTGTTAGGAATGCTGCCCGACATCTTGATACAAGAATTCCTCAAGCAACTCAAGTTCTAATTTCCAATGATGAGATTTTTTCTACTCTAGGTCAACTAACGGAGCACATAAGAAGACAAGACGAGGGCAATTGAAGTTTTCAAAGAGAGATGTATTGACTAAGGGTTGAAATGAGGAATCCTGCAACGAATGCTGCTACTCCTAGGATTATTCCTTTGGCCTCATGAAATATAACCTTTGAAATGGGCAGATCTTCGCTGAATCATAACGAAGACCTGATTCCCATGGAAAGCGCTATAATAATATATTATGTCACTCCTACCACCAAAAATCCAAGCTCCAATACACTAGGATGGAATCTTCATCACTCACGACTCAATTGTTGGTATCTTTAATAATAATGATATATTTTTTTTTCTAATACTAATCAAAATACATGTATGATCCCTCTAGTTCAACAAGAGATTAGGCAATTAAGACATACGATCTCCACCATTCTTGGAGTGTTCCTCCGATCCATGAAGTGTCCTGTGAAAGACATAGAATGTTAGGATTCACTCCTAACATCAGTAATGTGGAAATTCCCAAGAGATCCCAAACGCCAAATATGAAACTGTATGATGGATCTATGGATGTTGCGGAACTTGTCACCCAATATCGAGAAAGAATGTAGATCAATCCTATCCTGATAGACCTAAAAGAGGTCTGCTTGTGCAAATGATTCGGTTCAACACTTACCAGCCCAACCTTGAAATGGATTTTAAATGTTCATCCTTACTCTATTTTTTTCCTTTTCACATCTTGTTAATCTCTTTAACAATCAATTTTCTTATAGTAGATCCTTTGAAAACTTATCAGTGACATTTTCAAGATTTCACAAAACTCTGAAAAATCTTTCAGAGATTATCTTAGCATGTTTGGCAAGGAGGCACTGAAAATTCCTCATCTAAAAGTAGCAATTGTTGTGGATGCCTTCAAAATAGCTTTAAAGAAGAATCCATTGTTCTACGACGATCTCGTAATGACCCCGTGCAAGAAGCTTGATGAAGTCAAAAACAAGGCCCGAAGATTTACAAGGATAGAGAAAGACAAACGGATGCAAAAGAAAACTACTCCTCCAAATACCTACGGAAATCCGATACATCTTCTCAAAGATTCCATAGACCAAGGCCTTACGACAAACTAGAGAATCGAGTCAATGCACTAGAAGGCAAAGAAGATGATGAAGAATATCCTAAGATTTAGGATTATTTATTTTTGGTTGACACTACACGACTAATCATTGCCATGCAGTATTTGGGAGACAAAGCGAAATGTCCAAAGAGGAAAGAAAATGTAAACAATTGGGATGATCGATCCAAGTGGTGCACATTTCATGAAGATTTTGGACATAAAAAGAAGATTGCATCGCATTAAGAAAAGAAATAAGCTACCTACTCAGCAAGGGACACTTGACATAAATCTTGGGAAGGAAGAATCTTAAATCCAAGGATACGGACCAAGATCTTGCCAAGATGCCAAAACCATAAACTTCATTTAAGGAGGGCCAAACATCTATGGCACAACTTACTCAACAACAAAGATACATGCAAAAGTATCGAAGGTGGAAAAAGAATAGGACCAAAAAATAATATGGCCATCACAAACAAGAATGAGGTCACATTTTACGAAAATGAAAGAGAAAACGGCTTGGACCCTCATCATGATGGATTGGTGCTGACCCTACATATTGCAAACCATTATGTTAGAAGAAGCTTGGTAGATGGAGGAAGATCCGTAAATATAATCCTTAAAGAAAGCTTGCAAAAGATGAACATTATAGAGTTAGAAATCTTGCCGGAAATCCTCAGTAATGGTCAGATTCAACGGAGAAACAAAGAATACACTGGGAGAAAGTAAACTACCCATCTACGTAGGAAGAGTAAACTCAATACAAGGATTCTGCATTATGCATTATTTTTCCTGCTATAACGTCATCTTAGGTCGACAGTGGATTCATG